TACTTAATCTTTATATAAATACAATACTGATTTTATTCTCAAAACTTTTTTAATATATGCAAAAAAAAAAAAAGAACCTTCTAAAAGGCCTTGTTTCTGTATTGACGGGGATCTGAAATTTGCTGCATTGGCAGATTAAACTACACATACCTCCAGATTTAGGCCTGTGTTATTCCAATCAGCCCTAGTAATGTGTTAAACAACTCTGAGCCCTAGTAATTACAATAAATTTTTATCTCACAAATATGAACAATTAAATCTGTGACTAAACAAAAAATTGTAAGAATAGAATTTGTTAGTTGCATTCAACAATTTAAATTTGATTCAAGTGATATATACATCATCCTATACAGTAATAATATATAATATTTCATTACTTCATAGCTTTTTAAAACAACAATTACCATATACAGTACTTGAATAACTTCAATAATAGAATTTAATTAAAAATTACCTTTCCGATAGTGTAGTTATGCAGTTGTAAGCTGCGTGCAATATCCTCAAATTAGCAAACCTGCCAATCACTTCCAAAGCACTATCAGTCAAGCAATTTGCTGTGAGGTACAGCTTTTCCAACTGATGGTGAGCACTTTCTGATGGTTCAGGTCCAGGAGGCAATTCACACAGTCTATTGTTGGACATATTGAGAACACGCATCCTGAAAACAGATCATTATGCATTTAAGTTGTTATTTAGCGCCAATATTCTGGTAAAAGTCCAAATAAACCTTTCGTATTAGTTTATATGTTTGAGACATTGTTATTGCACTGTTTATACTCAAAAAATTGTATTAATGTATCTCTCAAACATGAAGGCAAATCAGTGTCAAACAACGCTCAGACACGCACAGACCAGGACAGACATTGACACACACACATTATTATATACATTTACACACAGAATTTAGGAAAATATTCTCTGCAATAAGCACCACATCCACTCTAACAGTAGCAAACCAATGAGGATGGGGAAGCATTTTTTTAAAAAATATTTGTCGAGAAGTTTACCATTTTTATCATTTTAGGACCTTTCTTAACCCATGGAGGTAGGTTTTCCAATGTTCAACAGATAGTTTACAAAACAATCATACCATGCCTAATCACTTTGTGGAAACTACAACGTTCTCTTTCAGCTACGCCTGCCTATAAACAAGCCTCTACCTTATTTAAGCATTGGTTGATGAAGAGAACAATTGTGGGAACAATGTAGTGAATAATCAACTAGTTCATTAACTAGTGGTCTCAAAACAGCACATACTTTATCCCATTATTACTAAGTTAGCAATTTTTGAAAATTTAAGAGTTCCACAAAAATGGTCATGAATCATTATTTTAAGTTTTCTTTTTTGTCTTTGTTCTACCCATGGAAAAAATTGAAGGAAGAACTAGGAGCAAGTTTTGAGATATTGTGTTTATAAATAGCCTAAATTTGAAGTACAAGTTACGCAAAAAATGCCTTTTTTTTTCTTCAAATATCGTTCATGACCTTTTAAAGAGCTGATTTTTAGAATAGATTTCGTTTAAAGCAAAAATCTCCATCATCAATTTTGCAGCTTTGAAATATTAAAATTTTTCAATTTTCTAAAATACAGTATACGCCGGATAGTAAAATAAACAACACTTTTTTACTACGCTTGATACACATGAGAAAATTTAAGAAAAAGTTATAGCGGTTGAGAAAAGAAGTTTAAAAAAAAATTAACTTGTGACTACAACAACATATACTTTCTCGCATTGTTTCTAACTACTCCATAATAGTGTACTTCTACATGTACTAACAAAAGTATTTTCAACCAGCAAACACCAAGACTCTTCTGAGGTAACTCGCCGTGCACCTTGCTTTTATGCCATGGAAATGGTCTGACTTGCCAACTCTGGCAATCGCTTAAAAATCTAAATGTTTCAACACCCATATTTCCAAAACGCAATTTTCGATAACTTAGAGAAATCAACGAAAATGAAACTTACATCAATCGTTTCAACATCTCTTGTTTTAAGAGCGAAAAATAATTAAAAGAAAAAAATTGGAGCAAGTTTTGAAAAAAGTTTTTTATAATTTGCTTTAATTGTAACAAGAAATTACGTGAAAACAATTAGTTTAAAAAATTCAAAATCTTTTTTAAAGAGCTGATCTTTTAGAATAGAGTTTAAGGCAAAAATCTACCTTCAATTTTGTAGTTTTGAAAAGTTAACTTTTTGTGATTTTCAAAATGCAGAGTTCAAAGCGAGACTTAGCATATATTTTACCATTCTTTGATACATACCAGGAGGAAATTGAAAAAAATATTGGAACCGTTTGTGAGAAATGAAATAAAATAAAATAAAATAAATTCGCCTATATTTATGCATAATTACACAACCTACTCATATTTTTGACAAATTATACACTATCTTATTTCAAGATCTGTCTTTAAAGAACAGAATTTATTAAGGAAACAATGCTATCTTCCATTTTGTAGTTGTAGACGGCGAAAAAATTGAACTTTTGCAATTTTTTACGACTAATCAGGGATTTAAGGCAAATGTGACCTTCACCAATCTTTATGTTATCCGAGGACAAAGTTTATTAACGAAATTGTGCAACTTTTCAGAAAATTTTGGAAATGATGAGGGTTCGTTCTCTCAAAAATCAAAATATCCGTTTCGAACACGCAAAGCCTGAGTTCGTTCAAATAGATCGG